CAGAGTGTATCATTTTTTTAAAAATCAATAATCTCCCCCCTTTCCCAAGTCCTATGCTTTGCAGCGCTTAGACTTTGAATGAACTTTGGTGATCCCAAAAATCTCCAGTAGACTACTCACAACGATTCACTGACCTGTCACGATGGCAAGCCCATGAAGACGCTGGTATCAATTTCTTTTCTTTTTCACAAGTTACAGCACAGGAAAAATATTTATTTATTTTCATGGCCACACAGCGTTTGTAATGCACAACCTGCAGGTTACAAATGTTGCATCATCAGACTACTACCGGCAAATTTCTGGATTATGTAACCATCCATAAAAATATATCAATGACATGGAGATAAAAACTCACCGTAGGTAAAGGCGAAGGGGGGGCTGGAGCCTGAATATCTGGTGTTACAGGTCGTCGATTCAATTCTGGAATGATGCAAAAGACAATAATAAACAATACTGGTTTCAATAGTAAACAAAACTGGATTCAGTTCTCCATATGTCACTTTGATTTCAAAACCAGCATACAGAAAAGACAGAGAGCATGTCCTTTTAACACTTGCAATACCGTCGGCAGGCCTTAGTATGCGCTTACTACCCCTGGCGACTGTAGTCACCGATGTGACCAGGCCTACTAAACATAGTTAAACTAGCTGGGTACCCGTTCGATGAACAGACTCAAAAGAATCGATCGTCAAGTCAATGTGGAAACAGTGCGCACTGCTTGTGAACGGAAGCCTCACTTGTTTACAATGGCATCTTAGAAGAGGGACTTTCCCAAGATTAGATCAAAACGCAACTAATGAAAAACTGAAAATTAAACTACAGTGACTTCAGACTCCTTAATATAACTTAATATAACCTTTTAAATGATTCTGAACCACCGTTAATTTTGTTTAAATTCGAAAGTTAAGTAGTTCAGAAGTTTTAGGCGACCAAAGTGACAAACTTTCACAAATATAATCTATATAGACAACGAATGGACACACTGTACTGAAGTAAATACCAGAGGAAGTCACTCTACATGATAACTGAATGGTTGATGAACCTCTATGAATTTTTAAAGCGCGTTTCTTGGGCTGTCAAGGTTTATTATCTTTTTATAAAACCCTACCATAGCTTCAGCATTCTAAAGTGATGCGGTACTTGAGGATTTTTCACTGTATTAGCCTTCGGTACTGTAAGTGTTAAAAGCTAATTTCTTTCCACAAGTAATGTTTTATAGAGCGCTCAAAACCAGCGCATCTTCAAGTGCCATCAAATGACCAGATGTTCAACCTCATTAAGAGGCCGATTATACAGGAGATTGTCCTATACAGGTGGTGGCCGTTAAAGAAGATTCAACTGTATGTTAGTTATTTTCTGCCTAGGTACACTTTGCCTCTCAGGCAACCACACGCTATTTTCGAAGCCACTCTCAATTAATGATATTGCCAGGACTTTCTTCAACTGATAGACAAAACAAATAGCACAGACATCCCACAGTCCCATCCTAAACCCCCTCCCTTGTGCACACACACACAAACACAAACCTCGCGTACAAACACACACTACACGCACACCTCAAACACACATCTCACACAAACACACATCTACGGAAACTCACTGGGCTGAGGAGGCAAAGATTTCGGCAAGGGGATACTGGGCTGTGGGGCAGTTTTTGGATTTGGGGCAGTCCGAGACTTGGTCAGATCTACAATTGCATTAGCTGTGAGGAAAAAAAGAAAACATTATTTACAAATGATGCCCATTTGCGGCCCTCAAATATCCAAATATATACAAATTTAAATTGAAAAGCAATATTTTCAGGGGGGGGGGGGAAAGAAATGACAGGAACTTCATGGGACCTGAGAATTTCTTCTTGTTATGCAGATTTTGTGTTACGGAACTTTGAAAGGCATAGATCAATTTTTTTTAAAGGGGTAGGGATGCTAAACCCTAATGAATTGAAATCATTCTTTTATGTTAAAAGCAATTTTGTGTTAAACGGCCTCAAATTAAAATATCAATTATGCAAAGTCTACTGTAAATGTCAGTTAAGTAGATACAGTTATGGTTGTATTTCCCCAGAAAACAAACCAGGACAATAAAACCACTGAAAAGAAATAGGTGGAAAAGACTGCATCTGTGCCGCAGTCAATGACCTGTAGGATTGCATTAGTCTTACTGTAGTCAGCTCCCGTGAGTCAGAAGCTTCTGAATCAGCCATTAGTTGTTCACAGTTTTGTTTTTTTCACCCTAATCTGCAGGAGGGAGAGCAGTTTTACAAATAACTGAGCAACACATCAACATGCTTTTTTCTTGAAATCAACACATTGGTTCAATTTGTGCTTGGAACTGAACCCATACCTTCAAGACAGAAAAATCCAGAAATCTAATGGCAAAACTTATGTATTTCTAAACTCAGTGCCTCACCTTCTGATACAGAACACTTCAGTTTGACCGGCAAACCGTCTTCGAATCTTTGGTAGTGCTCCACAAGGGACTCCAGAGAAAGGTGATAAGCTCCATCATCCATAAAGTGCACCGTTTTACCACGGTACTCCTGGAACATCAAACAGTATGAATATAACTTAACTTAAAAAATATCCTATTTCTTCTAAAATTATTCACTAGCAAGGGAACAAACCTAATTTTTTCTATGGAGAACCCATCGGCGCCTGAGCTGTAGCAGTTAAGTACTTTGCAGTCGTACACAGAAGACGTGAGTACGAATCTGATACCTGGAGGTTTTTAATAAAGTATCTCAGTCTGTCTGCTGGGATGTAGGAAGAGTCAGAGCAGACCACCTCCAAAATTGTGTTGATGACATGTAAAAATGCTAACAATTATAACTTTTACTGAGAACACAATAGGGAGACCTTAATTTGTCTATGCTTTCCACTCCGGGCAAAAAGAAACAATAACAGGTTTATGCAAAAAACATAAATTCATACAGAATGTGCAAAGACTTAATAAAATAAACCGATTCAGCAAAGATGAAAAAAATCCCCATATAATGTGACTTTTCAAAAACCCAACAAACTACTACTTTGATGTGCACTGTTAATTTTGTTAACCCTATTACTGGCAAGTGCCGATGAGATTGTGCAACCAGACGGTTACTGCTGAAAAAAATTGTCAGTTTCCAAAAAATGTCTACACGAACCCCGAAAATGCCGACACTGAACGAAAGTGTACTCATTTTTAAAATAAGGCTTTTCTGCAGTTGTTAGAACTCTTTTGGGGCCAGAGGAACGAAAAAGATAGTCCGTTATTTTAGAACTGCCGACAGCCGGGACTCTGCAAGTCAGTGAAAATGGCTTTGTTGGGTCCTCGGCAGTTTCCGGAAAGGGTCTTCAGGAACCCCCGCAAACACTGACCCTGAACGAAAGTGCACTTATTTTTAAAAGTTATTAGAACTCTTTTTGAGCAAAAAGATTATCCGTTATTTAACTTAGAACCACTCGCAGCTGCAACTCTGCAAGTCTGAGAAAATGGCTTTGTTGGGTCCTCAGCGGTTTCCGAGATTTCCGGCACATTTTAGGGCAGAAATATTGATATTGTAAATTTTTTCAGCGTATTTTATAACCTTTTCATATAGTTTTCTGGTCTTCGTAATATCATATGTAGCCTACTCATTTCTTACATCTAAAGGTGAACCCTTGTTTCTAAGACTCTCCCCTGACAAGTGCAAGCTAACCACTGACAGTAATTAAAAAGGGTTAAGAATGCTGGATACATAATAAAAACAAGGTACATGATGTTTTCTAAGTTTAAAGGGCCATGATAAAAAAAAAGAAAAATACTAATCATTATATCCATATATACAATTGAGCCTGCTCTAAAGGCCACCTGTTCAAGACAATCACCTGTACAAACGACCACTTTTCCCCCCCCCCCCCTTGTGTTTTTTACTATGTCATAATGACACTGTCCAAGAAGTCGATCTGCCTAAAACAACCACTTTTTCCATGACAATGGGTGGCCCACTTCATCAATTTCAACTGTACTGAACAATTATAAAATGTGTCACAATGTGGTGAGATCAGGCACTCGTCAATTTTTGGGCACATATGTTTATTATTGGTATCATCATGAAACTTGTTCATTTTTCTTTCTATCGTTTAAAATTACACATCTATCTTGAATATGAGTTGATACATTTGCAATTGAAGGAGATGGTGTTGCTTGGTTTCAGAAGTAAAATTAGCGAGAAAATCGCTGACAAAGTTTGGTGACTACAGGGGTGCCTACCTCAAAGTTCCCATTTCAGGTAAATTCAGGGTCAGTTTCAGGTATTTTGGCCCAAAATCAGGTAGTACAAAGACAAAAAAGGAAAACAAAAGATAATCGTTGCCCCATAGACCGCGCTTGCTTTCCGTGATATTGGGTAATTATATTTCGAAAACTTGTTTGTGCATGCACATGTGTGTGTGTGTGTGTGTGTGTGTGCGTGTGTGTGTGTGTATCGGGTGTTTGGGTGCACATAAGTTAAGATGAACAGTGAGTATGAAATGAGGCGAGTTGTTTTTTTTTTAAGCATTGATGGACTGTCGTTCAAGGCATCTATCATTCAGTAATGAGTGCAGGGTGACTGCCACACTGACTTCAAAACCCCTACCCCATACCAATAAAACTATATTAAAACATATTTTCTGACACTAGCATAGGACACAGATAAGTCATTTGTGACTTAGGTATGACAGACAATTAATTTTAACTAGTTTTCTTCTAAAAATACTAAATGAATCCTGATCTGAGACTGGGAGAGGCAAGAAGAACATCAACTGCCAAAAAAATGTTTGATTTCAGCAATCACGGATTTTAAAAAGCATGCAAGACAAAACTTACTTATAAAACCTTTATAATTAGGCTCACGGCAGAGCACAAAGTGACAATAGAAGAGCGTGTACTGAGAGAGAGAGAGCCGGAGCTGGAAGGATTGTGAGAGCGTGGGATGTAGTGATGCTGAAAACCTGGCAATGGGTAAATCACTGCATCGTGGACTAAGTATTGATTTTTTTCAAAATGCTAAATTCACAGAACCAGTTTTAAATCAGCAACAAGCCATCATGATGCATAGGCATCTAACATAGAGCTTTCTGAGGGTTGAAAATGACATTTCCTCATTGCCACTATTCAATTTGTCATTATTGACAAATCCTACAAATCCGGGAACACCAATCTTGAAGATACAGTTATCAAGCCAGCACTCTAATGTTCCCTCATTTACGCACTCGACTGTTGAATGTCAAAACCACTTCCACTTATTGTTTTAATTTTAGCATCAGTTTCGTGCACCGCAGCTTTCTCCTGCTGCCGTAGACTTTATTGCATTCAACACTTCCCCTCAATTCCGAAACCCAGCAACGCTCCTACTTTGAATGAAGTTTGATTACCCCAACGTCCACCGGCCGGTCCTTACTCATGCCGTACTCACATGATGCGAACTCGCACAGGTTCACTGACCGGTTACGATAACAGGTCCGACAATCTAGAAACCCGAGGATGCTTGTTCTTTTTCTTTCTTTTTTTTTAAGTCATTATAGTGACAGCAGTGAGAAAATCGATTTAATTTATATGGCGTCACTGTGTTCTTATGCATTAACACTTACAATTTTTTATTAACTATAAATCTAACGTAAACAAACTATCATCGGACAATTCTGAGCGGTAACGAAAGTGAAAGTAGATTTTGATTTTCCCGATGGAGTCCTCAGTATTACACCTACACTTCCGCCTGCCGCCATAGCCGCTTATTCGAGAGAAACGTACAACCTCGGACTGGGGAAAGCCGAACTTAATATCACAAATGCGACAGGTAAAATATGAACTCGGTAGCCTTTTCAGATTTGGTTTTGAGGACTTTGTGCATTTTCTCGGATCTCAGCGATTTTTTTTCTTCAGATTCCCGGGTAATTCCTGCAGTCCCCCCTGCGTAGAGTCCTCATTAGGTACTGACCAATTTTCTAGACCAAGACAGATTTTAAAATGTTTTGCTTCGATAAAGATTTTCTTTCTACAATCACAATTCTGTTTTCTAGATAAATGAATCAAATGCACAGATTTTCCAGCCACAGCAAAAACCTGAAGATAGACAGAAAGAAAGAATGAATGAAAGGAAGGAGGAAGATTATCTATCATGAGTAGACAGATTTTAGCCGATAAGCATGAGAAAAACTATTGCCGATCAAACAGCACAGATAGACAATGGTCAAGTGTACGAAAATCTGTCAGTTTCAAACGCAATTTATTGCCGATAATTGACGTAAATATCCGACAAGTTACGGAGGCAAGTGCTGCTCTCTCTCTCTCTCTTTCTCTCTCTCTCTCTAACGCATGGAGTTGATATGATGATGCAGCAGGTACGGAACTTTCGGAATGTACATATTCCCACAAAACAAAGAAGATTGGAAGCACTGCAGATTGTTTTTTTTTTCTTTTTCTTCTTTTGGCACCCATCGCAAATCCGGTAGTTTTGACACCTTTATCTGTATGGAGGTAGAACAGGCCCAAAATCGGTAACTATCGGAAAAATAGGTAGATTTAGGCAGCCCTGTGACTACCAAAGAGTCCTATGCAAATTTACATCTTTTGTGCGTTTGATCAACGTTTTTCAGTAAAATCCATACAAGAATGTTTTTTTTAATGGACAATAAAAATGTCGAGTCAAAAAAAGAAAATTCGAAAAAAAAAATTGCCCAACTTCCATAAAAATGCAGATTTCTTTGATTTCATTATTTTAACCACCGCTTGATTTCAACAGGACACCTCACAAAAAACATCTGCACTTTCTGATGAAAAGTGGTTGCCATGTCACTTAAAATGTGACCTTTCCTTTCACTTCCAACTTACTTTCACTAGAATCTTGTAGTGTTTGACACTTTTTTCCACGCAAAGGCTCAGCCGGAAGTTTGGACTTTCACTCTTGGAAATCAAAAACAATCCGTCTGTCAGTGGATGTCTCTGGAGGAAGTTTTCCGCTCCCTGGCAAGGAAAACGTATCACCTTGCTAAATATATATATACATATATATATATATATATATATATGCGATTGAAGGATGGGGTTTTAACTTTAGAATGTAAATATTGAGAAATTGCAAATTTTGAACAACATACTTGCAAATATTTCCACTTTTAACATACGAAAAAGAACATAGACAAAGTTTTAATTACACCTTAGATACAATCAAGTTCAATTGCTGGCTTCAACTTACTTTCTACACGAAAAGAACAAGTGTGATTTGTAAACTTTCATTTTTACACATTTCGTAAAACAATAGGTGCAGGTGAAAATAACTGCTTTTGATATTGCCCTTTGTTTTTTATGATCATCTAGCACATTCAGGCAAAAAAAGGGAGTCTTAGGTCTGGGGGAAAAATACAGTAATATTCTTAACCAAATTGGCAGATTTTTTTGTGCTGACGTTCTAACTTTGATAAGCACAGCTAATTTCGTTAAGAATGCTAGATACATGACAGAAACAAGGTACACAATGTTTTCCATTAAGTTCAAAAGGTCACAAAAAACAGTATGCACCATAACATCCAATTATGGACAACAGCTCATAACTACTAACATAACAAATGTTCCTTGTTCATTACCTGTCTATCTAGATGTGGGTGGAACCAGTCTTCCTTCTTCGTCAGCATGGGAGGTTCAGTATAGGCATCTGGAGATAATAAGAACATACTCGGCTTAGTAAAAATGAACTATAGAATTCACGCAGGATGGATATCAAAGTTGTTAGTCAGACAAGTCTTTTGACATCAAGCCTTTGGGGTAAATTACTGACGCTAGAAAGACCTCGAAATTTCTTGTCAAATCAAGGTAGAGAAGGTAGCTGTGAAAGAGGAGAAGAAGATGGAGGAAGAGGTAGAGAGAAAAAAAGAAGATGGGAATCTTTCAAAAAAATTACCGCTCACATGAAAACAAAACTTAATAATTCAGACTGTAAATCAATAGGATACTTACCAAGAAGTCTGGCACAAGCATTTCTTCTGTAGCTGAGGGCAAGTTCCACAGGCGTTTCATTCTTCAAACCACGGGGATAGAGAGCAGCACGGGAGTTTAGGAGAATCTAGGTGGCAAAAGTTTCAGCAATGAAATTTATAACCTCAATTTTAACTAAGGTTTTATTATATCAATTACAGTCTTGATAAAACTTTCGAGCCTCGATTCGGACACATTTTTTTCGCCCCCTCCTGCCCACTCAGCAGTAATGGATACCAGACTTCGAGTTGGGGAAGTATAGGCAGTGTGGAAAGGAACTACCCACCCTACCACAATATGCCAAAGACCCAGGAAGTTGTCTCACTAACAAGGCAATCCCCAATGTCCGGATTGGAAGCGGGAACAACTTTACTTTTAATCAGTCCATCAGCTTTTCAGTAGAAACTACAGTTGTTGAAATATCATTTCAGTACCAAAAGATCTCCTTCCGGGCAGATTTGAGTCGTATCCATTTGGTGGTCAGCAAGATATTTTACTGAAAGCCATGTCCTAATAAGTAGAGAGGACTACATTTTATCTAATACTCTAAGACTACGATTCAATAAATAGTCCAGAAACTTCAAGTTTGAGCAGTAGCAGAACAAAATATTTTTCAAATATCAATACTGACATACTTGAATTGAATGTAATATGATGCGACCCTTTTTCCAATGCTGCCTTTTTATGGACACCAACTAATATATCTTGCTGTTTCATGGAGCAGATGGCCTTGGTTAGAATCCAAAGCTGAGTGTTCTTGAACTCAGGTCGTTATTTAGAGTCTTCAAGGCTCTCAACCCATTCAGCTCGGTCCGATTAGACACAGACAATTTGGAGGTCCTGCCTCTTATATAACCTAATCGTGTTGATAGAGGCGATAAACTCACACACTTAAACTTAATAAACGTCTTCTACAGAAGGTCACTGTTGTTCTCTCAGTCATTCCAAGCTCACCTTGATACATTCAGCACTGCCATGCATGGCTGCAGTGTGCAAAGGCACACAGCCACTGACGGGGTTCCGCTCCTGCACACAGCTACAGTCGTGGGTCACCAGCAGGGCACACGTCGACACTCTGGAGAAGGCACAGGCACCCTGAGAAAAAAAGAAAAAAAAAAGGTATGCTTAACTCTTTCATTACCCATGGCTTCACTTTTCGCCCGATTCTGTGACATTTAGTTAGCATCACAAAGCAGCCCGCCAAAGCTCCCCGACTCTGGGACACGGAATTAATTATTAGCTCTGAAGCGACTTTGCCTGTGTCGGTTAAGAAGTTCACTTTTTTGTCTACTTTTGAAATGATATAACTTCTTCCCCATCCCACACAGCAAACCATTACACTGATGTGCTAAAAGCTCAATGTCTTGAAATTTATTCTGCGTTAGAATGGTCAATTTTTGTGCCTTAGTTTTTGTTCAGACAAGAGTTTGGAGAATACCTAATTTGTCATATTCTAAGTCACATACGTCTGAATAAATAATTGTGTATTTAAAAATGGCTTGATAGATCTCTCCAAAATCTATGTCAAACGGACAGCGAATATCATGTCTTTTACATGAGAAATCTTATATCCGCGCAGGCAGAAATAGTCAAGTTATAAGAGAAGAAAGATGCACATCTCTGCATTTTTTGACAAAACACACTCAGCGTTGACTCTTGCTTTACCATTATGATTAAATACACAGGGGAAAGGTACTTTGCATTATTCATGAATTATGCAGAGTCTCTGACAGCCTGCATACAACTAAGAAAGTTAAATGTGATTTTTTTGAAACACAAACCTGTGTAAATATATCATACATAGAGATATACTTCTTGCATGGAATATAAACAATGACAGCTAATACATTCATTCTTAGTTTTTGTGTCAGAAATACGTGTGGACACTTATGGATATAAAGAAATCAGAAAGCTGTCAGTCTTTGCAAAATGGTCATAGAAATGAAAATAAAAGCCGGAAAAGTCTGGTGCTGATTCAGTGTCATTCAGAAATTATTCTGAAAACCCAGTTACATGTACTTCGTTATCCTTGTTCTTCAATCAACTTGCAAAACCTAGAGACTTAATATTTTGAGAAAAGTAAGGAATTTCTGGAGGGTAACACTGTTCATGCATTGAGTTGAGGATGTAATCTACATGTAGCACTAAAATCGAATTGTACAGCGCAGTGACCACAGTGTAAATTTTAAAAACTTTCTTGAAAATGTGAGGATATTTATGATTAAATTAGACACATAAAGTTGTATGTGAAGGAATTACTTCTTTGTGAATTTTGTGCCCGAAGGTGCAAAAATACAGCTTTCTATCATCTGCCTAGACATGATCTTTTGTGAGTATCTACACCCATTTTATGTCATTCATGTTCCAAAAGTTCGACAATTTTCGTCAGGTCATTCTTTTTAATAATCACTTTTTTCATTCACACACATCCAAATAATTTCCCAATTTAGCATGGTCGATTCCGGTGCATCTAACGAAATGGGGGGGGGGGGGGGGGGTTGTTGGGTTTTTGTTTAGTTTTGTTTAATTTTTTTTTACTTTACTTTTATTTTCAAAATCAACACAAATTGGACACAACAAAGTAGGCTAAGCGTACACAAAAACTGGGAATTCAAGACTGTTGGTCTAACAGAACTTTAAATGAAGTCAACGACTTAACGAAATAAACAAAAGGCAAGGAAGACTCTCTTCTCTCTTGCCCTTTTTAACTTCCAGTGGAGCATAGGCCATCAACAACATTTCTCCTATGCTTCCTTTTCTAGCTGTTTCCATGATGTCCCCGCCTAAAGAAGACAGACAAAACATATTACATGTGCTGGACTGGGAAAGAGGGGGTAAATCATTTCAAATTTTGCTTAAAAACAAGTTTGTCCACACATTTTTCGCAAAGGCAGGTCCTCTTTTACAAAATCAATTCATCAGCCTTGGAGAACAGCCGTTCTGAAGGCACAGATGTTGCTGGAGTAGCCAAAAAGCTTTTTGGCTTCCTGGCTGAGTTCCAGAAAGGCTTTTTCATATATTGACTCCACCATGTCAGTGGATTGTCCTCTCTCCTTCTGGCCAGGGGCATCAAAAAAGTACCGATTCAGTTGGACTGTGACACGTGTTTGTGGCAGAGACGTTTGCCTATGCTCCTCTGCTTGAACGTCGAAGGCTTGATACAACGATTTTTCTTTTTGCCTGAGGTTCTGTTTCAGCAGCTGAAACCAATGACTAGCCTGGTGTTTGATCTGGTCTGTCTCCTTGTTTGTCTCTAATCACTGAAAGAAGGCGAGTTTCTATTTTTTTTCCTTGCGCCTTCCCTGAAAGGAAGCCATTTGAAACAGGGGTCGAGGATAGTTGATGCTGCCACAAAATATCTGTCAACGAGTTGTGTGAAGCGCTTGCGAAGCTCATTCTGCAAAAGAACTGCCAGTGGCCAATATCGATCGAGTGCTGTATCAAGTAAGAGAGCTCAGTATCCATAAGTACTCAGTCCTTATTAACCTCTTCAATGCCGCAGGTAAATAGACCCCTGCGCGGGGGGAAATCCCATGAACCAAGGCGGCTCAGGGGTGACCCCACTCTACCTCCTATAACTTTTTTATTTATGAATATTTCCTCATGAAATTCAGCATGTACAATCTACATTGAATCACGTTTCTATTGATATAATTTTAGGGGGATTTCATTGAGTGATAGATGGAGAAAAGTCGGAGTCAGTAACATGATCCAAAAACAACACCACCAAACAACATAAAACAACACACATTCGAGTACTGCTCACAGCGCACCGGCAGTGGAATTTTAGTTGCCGCGGGGGGTTCCCCGCCGGGCGCCTTAGCACATCGGGGTCACGGGGGTCAGCTCCCTGTCGCCGCTCTGTCTGGGCCGACTTAATTTTTGGTACTTTTCAACGTACAATTTAAGGTGAATCCTTGTATCTATGGCAATTCTCATTTAGTGCACCCAAAGCATGCATTTCTGCTCTTGAGACTCAAAAAAGAATGGACGTTGTAACCTGTCTGGTTATTTCGTTAGACGTGCTGGAGTCGGCAATGCTAAATTGTAATTTTTCTGGGACTAGCTGTTTCACAGAACTCAATATAAAAAAAAGGCCTCGTCAAAATCTGTCGAACTTTAGGAACATGAACGACATAGCATTGGTGCAGATACTCAGAAAAGATGGTATCTGCGCATATAATAGAAAGCTGTAATTTTGCAACTTTATCCATCGGGCACACAATTCGCTATGAAGTAATTCCTCCAAATACAACTTTATGTGTCTAATATAATCGTGAATATTCGCATATTTTCTCGAAAGTTTATAAAAGTTACCATGAAGTTTCTCTATGAAAAGTACAAATCGATTTTAGTGCTAGAATACATCTTCAAAGTAGATCTAATACACGAACAGTATCTGTTACACTCCAGAAATTCCTTACTTTTCTTAAAACGCTAAATCTAGGTTTTGTAAGTTGACTGAATAATAGGGATGACTTCTCGTAATTGGGTTATCAGAATAATTTCTAGCTTTCCAGGGACACTGAATCAGCACCAGACTTTTCCAGCTTTATTTTTCGTTTCTATGACCATTTGCAATAAATGACAATGTGACTGATTTCTTTATTTTCATAATTGTGTTCGCGCATATTTCCGACACAAAAACTAAGAATGAATGTGTTAGCTGTCATTATTTTTATTCCATACAAGAAGTTTATCTCTACCCATGTATTTACACGGTTTTGTGGTTTTTTTAATCGCTTAGATTCTATATTATATCTTTTTAGTTGTATGCTGGCTGCCACAGACACAGCATGATTCATGAACAAATGCAGAGTAACTTTCTCTTGTTTAATAGTAAAATAAGAGCTAACGCTGATCGTCTTTAGTTAAAAAATGCAGATGTGCATCTTTCTTCTGTTACAACTTGACTAGTTCTACTCGCGCAGATTTAAGATTTCTCATGGTAAGAGACATGATATTCGTAGTCAGTTTAACACAGATTTTGAAGAGATCTGTCGTGCCTTTTTAAAATTAACAATCATTTATTCATAAGTTTGTAACTAAAATAGGACAAATTGGGTACTCTACAAACAATTGTCTAGAACAAAAACTAAGGCACAGAAATTAACCATTCTAACGCAGAATAAATCTCAAGACATTGAGCTTTTGGTACATCTGCGTAATGGTTTGAATTGTGAGATGGGGAAGAAGTTATATCGTTTTAAACATAGTCAAAAATGCGAACTTCCTAACCGACACCGGCAAAGTTGCTTCAGGGCTCATTAACCCCGTGACCCCGAGCCGGGGAGCTCTGGCGGGCTGCTGAGTCACGCTAACTAAAAGTAACAGAATCGGGCGAAAAGTGACTCCGTGTGATAAACTGAGACTAAAAAAAGGGGAATGTGTGTTGTGCGAGTGTGTGCAGGTAAAGAGGAAGTGACAAGAGGCTTTTCCTACCTTATACAAAGCTTGTACAATCCGTATGTAAGCCCATCTGTGTTTACTGCCAATAAATCTTGATCTAGATCTAATCTTCTCTTTTAGCTAAAATCTGAATCTGACGCTTTCAAATAGGGAGAAAATGGTGGTAAACATTAAGGGAAGGTACCCTCAATAATGATTACAAGATTTCCGCAGTAGCTTTCCTTATACTTACTTTATTTACTACCCGTTACACCATCTGGCGTTTAGGGCAGCAACAAAAGATCTCCAGCTCTGTCTGTTTTGGGCCATCTTGGTCAACGTCCCCCACGGATGGTTCCAGGACCTCATTTCAGACACTACTGTGCGTCTCCAAACTTTCCTTATAATTGGTATTAAAACAACCTCTGTCACAGTCCCGTAAATTCTATGGGCCATAGGTACAGCACTACACGGTTCAGGCCCGTAAATTCTACGGGCGCGGCAGTGAAGAGGTTAAGGTTCAAACGAAGGGATGTAATTTAAGTGAATTTGCATAGGATTTAACAAAGGGGAGTAGAAAACCCGGGTACCCTTGCACAGCTCTGCTTGGCAGGGACACCCCCGCTGCAACTAAAACTTCATTGCTAATGTGCCATGTACCGCGAGCTGTGTTTCACAGCTCTCCAGTCCTTTCAACACTATTAGGTTATTTAAGAGGTGGGACCTCCAAGTTCAATGAAAGAACCAAACCAAATGGGAAGTTCATGTACAGTGCCTTTACTAAGGACCCAAAGTTGGACTGAGCAGAGGATCGAACCTCCAAACCCGCAATTTCACCATTACGGGTCCAGCAGCCAAACCACTAAGCTATCGACGCCACCACAGGCACCCTAACAAGAAAATAAACGTATGCAAATAAAGAAATGCCAAACACCCGTACGTATAAGATTTATCCATATTTTCAAGCTTTGTTAGGCAAATTTGGTTGAAGGAAAGCCAAAGACTGGTGAAATATGTAATTGTAAGGCACAATAAGTATATTCAATAGCATGTTCACTTTCCCTTTAAGTTGGAGTGCAAAGTGTAATTTTCCATTTGTGGTATCAAATCTACTGTCAAATTTTTAAGAATTATAAACAATAGAAAAAAATGAGAATGAATGGTTCCACAATAAAACTCAAAATCCAAACAGTTTTGTACTTGAGAAAAACTATGTGAAGCAATTCTAACATTTCCTACAGGTATAAAACATGGCCTTCTAAACTTATGAAATGAGTTCCTTGAAAAAGAAAATCAATTAATCAAATGTGGCTTAACACCAGGAAGCACAAATGTGGCAGAACTGATTTTTTAAAATTTTTTTATTTATATGACTTTGGCGGACAATTGGTCTTGTTAAAGCCTTTTAGATTCTATTTCTTGTTCATCTTTAAATAGATATCCCAGTTTCTAGTACGAAGGCTGCTGTTCGCCACATGTCCTCCAGGCCCCCATAGAGTTTTGGGTTCCTCTGCCTAGGGTGGGGTCACTATTTCTGTTAACTCTTTGGCTATCAAGGCATTCTCCGCGCTGTGACCAAGGCATTTCTTAGTCTTATAATTTCAGAAGTACCCCTGTTCTTCTTTTGTGTCTGAAGGGCATAATTCCATCTGGAAGTCAGACATATTATATACCAAAATGAAGGTAATTGAATGTAGAATATTTTTAATCTAATAAAAAAAAATTGAAAAAAATCATAAATCCAAACAAATATCAGAGGTAAGTGAACACAAGGTGAAAAAAAATATAAAAAATTAAAAAAACATTTTCAACGTACATTTCTTACAGTGTATAGCTGCTAAATCCAATCACTTCATGATTTGGTCATACTAAAGTATATCCAATTGTCACTAACTGGGCCAAGTTTCATGCACAATGGTCAAATATATACAAAGTTGTCGCACTTTTGGTGAAATCACTCACAATGAAAAAAAGAGAAAAAACGCTGCACACACGCCCCTCTTTGCGAATCTTCATTCTCATCACTGTCGCTGCTGTCCGACTCAGGTCTAACTTCACCACCTCCTACATCACTATCGGAAAGTACTGACATCATCATCATCAATGCCTTTCACCCCTGGCAGGGTATAGGCCACATACAAGCTCCTTCCATTTATCTCTGTCCTGAGCCATTTCTCTCATGACCCTTTCCACACATCTCCTCCATGTTTCCCGTGGCCTACCCCTGCCTCGTGCTCCTTGTGGGTTCCACTGCAGTGACTGTCTTGTGATGTTTCCGCTGGGCTTTCTTAATGTGTGTCCCATCCATCGCCACTTTCTTAGTCCTATTTCTACTTCTATATCCTTTTGTCCTGTCCTTTCCCACAGCTCTTCATTTCTTATTCTATCCTGCCATTTCATTCCTAGAATACTCCAGTTGATGAAAGTCTGGACTTTATTCAGTACTGTTTTCGTTGTCTTCCAAGTTTCGCAGCCATAGAGGAGCACAGACTTGACGTTGTAGTTAAAGAGTCGAATCTTGGTGCGCAGTGAGATGTTGCTTGCTTTCCAGACTTTTGATAATTGCTTGAAGGCTGACCTTGCCTTGGCGGTTCTTGCTTTAACGTCTGCCTCGGTTCCACCTTTACCATCGATGACACTTCCAAGGTAGGTAAAGGAGTCCACTTCTTCCAAGGGAGTGTCTTCCACTGTCACAGCAGGGCTTGAAACTTTTCCTAGCTTCACTACTTTTGACTTGCCTGGATGTATACGTAGGCCAACACTCCTTGATAGGCTGTTGAGTTCCTTGGTCTTTTCTTGCATCTGAGCATGTGTGTGAGAGAGCAGCGCAAGGTCATCGGCGAAGTCTAAGTCGTCCAGCTGCTGCCAAGGGATCCATTGTATTCCATTACGTTTGCCTCTGGTGGCTTCTTTCATGACCCAGTCAATTGCCAGTATGAAGAGGAAAGGTGAGAGCAAGCATCCTTGTCGCACTCCTGTCTGTACCTGGAATGGTTCTGAGAGTTGTCCTTCGTGGAAGACTTGGCAGTTTGTTTCATCATAGGTGGCCTTCACAAGCTTGACGATTTTCTCAGGTATTCCAAAATGCCACATGAGTTTCCACAGAGTTTCCCTGTCCACGCTGTCAAACGCCTTTTCATAGTCAATGAAGTTGACCACGAGTGGTGAGTTCCATTCAAGCGATTGCTCAACAATGATATGCAGAGTAGCCATCTGGTCCACACATGATCGATTTTTGCGGAATCCTGCCTGGTTTCCTCGAAGCTTCTCATCTGTTGCCAGCTTGATTCTCTCCAGGAGTATCCTGTTGAAGACTTTCCCAGGTATGGACAGGAGTTGTAGTTGTTACAATTGCTGAGATCTCCTTTCTTTGGCAGCTTGATTAGGTGGCCTTCCTTCCAGTCTGATGGTATTTCCTCCTTTTGCCAAACCTTTTCAAATAGAGCATAGAGAATTTCCACAAACCTATCTTTCTCTGCCTTAAGGGCTTCCGGTGGTATATGGTCGGGACCAGCTGCCTTGTGGGACTTCAGTGTTTTTATAGCGGCTGCAATTTCCTCTCTTGAAGGTGGTTCCGCTCTGGGTTGAAGATAGTCTTTCCCTCTTTGTCTTTCACTGGTAGAGTGGGCTTGCTGAACCTACCTGAAAGAGTTCTTGTAGTCTGGTGTACAATCCGTAAGTGCCCGTCTGTTGCTGCTTTCTCAGCCTTTTCGGCCAGGCCATTCAGGTAGGTATTCTTGTCCTTTTTGATGGAATTCTTTACCTCCCGGTTTATTTCGGTGTACTCCTGTTGTGCAGCGAGTTTCTCAGTTCGGGTACGGCTGTTGTTGACTTGGGCCTTCAGCTCTCTTCTTCTTTTGACTTTGTCTAGGGAGTCCTGTGAAATCCATTCATTCCTGGTGTTGTCTTTGGGTCCTAGGGTGCTCTGGCAAGTTGCATTTACTGCCTCTCTTATCTTATCCCAGTGTTCGTTGACTTCACATTCATCCAGATCTTGAAGGGCTTGAAATCTGTTCTTCAGTTCGAACTTGAACTTATTCTTCTTTACTGGGTCTTTCAGAAGGCTCACTTCATACTTTTGACATTTCCAGCTGTGACTTGTGCATATCTTCTCAATTTTAGTTTCATCTTTCCAAGGATCAAATGGTGGTCTGAGGCGACGTCTGCTCCTCGTAAGACTCGGACGTCCTCCAGTGAGCGTCTAAACTTTCGGGAGAAAGTACTGACAGTTCCACATCAAACTTTTCCAGGGCTTTTGAAGCAGAAAAACGTTGTGACGGGCGGGAACCTGATGGGTTATCAGCCATTTTGCCGTTGCTATGCGTGTAAACTAATTCGAGCAACACAGGGCAGGTCAAAAAAACATGAAAATGTGCCAAAAAACCAGCAGAATAAAACACAAAAGGGGCCAAATTCCTTCACTGGTTGACTGATGTATGGTAAGCAGAGCAGTTAAAAACATGAAACGGAAAGGTTGAGTCAAATTGTGGAAGGGAAAGGGAAAGAAAAGCGCGAGCCGATAATTGGCTCTTGGCCACGAACTATGAAGTTATGGAGCCGATAGATCGGCTCATGGTAGTCAAAGAGTTAAAGTGCCTCCAGCATTGGGCAGGCTTGCAGCAGATGGTTCCCTGTTTAGTTGAAGGCCTTTTATATTCAATTACACTATTTTCATCCTGACATTGGCACAGTTCCTCTACCACAGATGATGGTATTTATGCTATATTAACCTACTTTCTTTTAAGTTGCACAATAATGGCAACAAAAAGCAAAACATGCCTTGAAACCAATCGTGAGGCACCGTCATGAAATCAGGTACTCGTCAAAATTTTTCTGTTTGGCAATTTGTATCAATTTTTTTCGTTTTCTCAACACCTTTTATGTCCATATAAAAAAAACAAATTTTTACATGAATTGAACTGAAAAAACATTGCTTAAAGGCATGAAATTTGTAAATTTGCAGTTTTCAAGGACTCTCAAGTTATTAAATTAACTAAACTTTGGCAGCCATTTTCTTGGAAATTTTACCTCTGAAACCAGGCAACTCCCCCCTCCTTCAATCGCAAAAGTCTGTTCAAGATAGAAGGATATTTTAAAATTTTTAAATCGAAAGCAATGAAAATGAACAGGTTTTAAAATTGACGAGTGCCTGATTTCACCGCGTCGTGACACAACTCTCAACAAATTCTTAGATTCCATTGTCTTTTTACATACATGTAAAGGCGTGGCCCCATCAGCGTCTCTGGTCTTGATATCAGCGTGATGTCCTAAGAGAAGCGATACGATGCTGTCATACCCTCCGGAAGCTGCAATGTGCATTGCTGTGGAACCTAAAAATCAAGTACAGAAAAAACCCATTACTGTAGTGTCTTTAGGGTTCCTCAAATGTCATTTAGCTAAATCATTTTCAAAGAACAGTTAAGCCTGCTTTGACAAATACCTGTCCAAAACAATCAACTGTACAAATACTCCCCCCTGAATTTTGCATACATTATAACGACACTGTTCTAGAGAACCACCTATCTAATATGACCTTTTTTTTTTTTTCTTCTTGACAATGAATGGCCCTCTTCGACAAGCTCAATTGTGAATCAACATTCCTAGACACACTACCTTGATCAAACTAATACAAACAATTTTGTATAACATGACTCATCTTTTTGGGAGGCACATCAACCTAGAAGAATTTTAAAAGCTCAAGAATTTTCGGATGACATCAGCATCTTCATGAAAGTGCCTTTCTTAATTAATTGAGTTCATGACACATTTTTGAAATTCACAAGAGAAAAAAAAAAGACGTTAAAAACAACAGTGGCCTAAAACCCATTGCATTAAAATTCTGTTTAAAATTTGGATATGCAAGACAGCCATTTTGCCTCATCAACAGAATAAGACAAGAGTCCTACAATGCCCAACACCCTTCAGTCATATATAAGTGGCAAAAAAAAAACTGCTTAAAGATTGAGATAAAAGTTCTCTGAACTCTCTCAAATCAAAATGTCAAAATATCAGTGACAAAAATAATGTCTTTTTTTCCTTTCTAAAGAGATAAACGCACTCAACAAAAATGATGTTATAACAAAAATAACTGGCTAAGTTGCTATCAGTAAAGCAAAGCCAGGCAACCCTTACAGGACAGATAACAAGCCTTCACACAAAAAAGATAAACACCACAGTTTACGTAGTATCATGGCTTATAAAAACAAATAATGTTTCCCTTCGGATCAGAAATGCTACAGACAGACTCAATCATAAAGACGGTATTAAGGATATGTCATTGTGTTTAAAGATTTTGATGCTTGCGAATTGGTCTGTAATTCTGATAGGTCAGTTGAAATTTTTTATTCCAGATCAAAAGCGGACTGGAACAGCGTGAAAAGAAAAAGGGTTGCTTTTAGGTCTGCATATGAATCAGAAACACCCACCAGCTTCATTCTTGGCGTCAATGTCAGGGCAAAGTGGGTGTGATAAGGTTTTCTTGACTAAGTCCTCACGATCTGAGGAGATAACAACAGAATTATAAAAAAACAAAAAACGACAACAGCAACAACAACAAACCACAAGCACTGCAACTTTCAGTTATCAATGAAGACAAATGGGTCAGTTCTCAGACTGAGCTGCAGTCTAAGCTAGTCCCACATGTTTTCTTTTGTTTTAGCAAGCATTTATGGTGCTTGCAACACAATTAGGTCACCTAGGTGCCAAAGATAATCTGTGTTATAAGGGACGAACAAACATAAAAAAGGAGAGAAAAAGGATGATAGATGTTTGATAGGAAAAAAGGAGCAAACCACACCAGAGTGCCCAGCAATCACCCATGTCCTACATGTTTGCAATTGCATCAAGGGCAAAAATATAAAAGAAAAGCTGGTATTTGAAAAAAAAACAACCAAAGAACCTCATAGCAATACTACCTGCTGCATTAACAATGAATTTTGCCCACAGCATTATTCATTTAAAATGTTCACTGACACCTTACACACAGCAAAATAGAAAACCTGGGGCTAAAAATGTTGGTTGCTTGGTTCATTATCACAGTGTATCCATGAAAAAATCATAGAAGATTTAAAAATTTGCCCACATCTTGAATCAAATGATCTATTCCATACAATTTTCTGAAAACCAAATTTGATAAACTATTTGGAAAAAAGCCCCTTATCAAAAATCTTCCTAAAGTTTAAGATCACATTTTTGTTACCAATAACAAGAAAAAGAGGCAAGTAAATATGAAAATCATTTTTTAATTTTAACCACTCACAAAGCAATACAAATTTACTGTAAAAATAGAGTAACTAGAGTAAGTTGACAGCAATCACTTACTTTCTTTGACGAGGAAATGCAGAAAATTGTTTGGCCCCACCCTGCGGACTTTGGCAGGGGGTAGCTTGCCTTTGCAAAGTCTGGTGAGTTTTGTGGGCAGTCTGTCACAGACATCCATATAATGTTCTATAAGCTTGTCTAAACCTGGGGAGGTGTGACCAAAAACAATGATCATGAATTTAGTTCTTTTACATATGTGAGCCAAGCTGACAAAATGAATTATTTCTCGGATTTTATCCTCTGTGGAAATATGTGCGTCAAATTTACAAGTTGAGTTTGTATAATTTATTTGCATGAAATGATAAAAGAAATTAGAGATTTGAAGAAAATGACATTAGTTGAAAATCTACCTGGAAAAAAACACTGAAGTCGATTTTCAATCGACATTTTCATTTACAGATTGCAAGAAGTAACACATTTTGTCAGCACACCTGACATGTCATTACAAACAAAATTAGAGAGGCGGTTTCTTTCTTTTTTTTCTTTTTTTTCTTTTTTTTATTTATTATAGTTCATTGTGCACATTTTCACAGAAAAAAAAAAAACAACCTCTAATATGGTATTGAGTAAAAAATTGCACAAGACCAGAAACATCTGACTGTCAATCAAGAACAATGACAACATAAAAAAAGGAAAAAACAAACTGAATCTCTACAGTTATTACGAACAATGACAAACATTGCCCCCAATTAATCAAGACATAAATAACACAATCATCAATTCACAAAAAACAACTTACAAGCAATACAACACTGTGCACTCCACCTCCTAACACCTTTTTAACGTTTCTGTATTTCCCTTCCATTTCTTTGTATAGAAAACTTTGGTTTCTTCAATGATCAATGTCCCAACTCCTTTTATTCTGAAAAAGACATATTGCTATTACAACAGACCATCAACTCAAACACCACCCATACCCTCGTATCTTTTTTTGTTTTATTAAGAGTTTAACGCCAGAGGTGTTACAAGAGAGTAACAAACACAAAAAAGAAGGAGGGGAGATAAAGACGATAGATTTTTTAAAGGAAAAAAGGAGCAAACCACACCAGAGCACCCGCCAACCACCCACTACCCTCGTAGCTGTGGTTGACACAACCATCAAAAACACAGGACATTAGGCATTGCTTATTTCCCCCCAGCACCAAGCAAAACCAGATTATCTCTCAAAATGCCACACACTCCTAATCTCTCTACCCTGTTCCCAGCCATACAAATTTGAGCACACACACACACATTGTCACCATACTCCTGCTGTCAGCCCTAAGCAGCGTTACTGGCAAATCAACTGATCTGCTGAATACTACAAGTGTTGCATCCTCAAGGAAAGTGCTGTGCCTAAAAGCAAATGACCTAACAAAATGCTAAAGCTATCAAGGGGAACAATTCACGTAATTCCAAGGAGGTGTACAAAGCACATCCTTTGTGATTCTCCTTAAACCCTTACACAGTTCAACACCTGCCTATTTCAACCAATCTCCGAGCTCTCCCAACATCGTTGGTTCAACCAGAGCATGCTGAGCGCCTTGTCATCAAATAATTCTTTCATTTAATAGAGCACACACAAGAGGAATATGTATTAGGAAATTATGTTAAACAACAGAAATCTTGACACTGTACCAGTCTCTCAAACAGTAAACTTACAACAGGTCTCAAAATGGTAAAAGCTGCCTGAATCTAACATTGTTCAATGAAGCTCAAATTCAACACAAAACAAACAAAATTGAGCCCTAAACAAATATTTCGTGGGCTCTTGTCTCACCTTGTATAACAGGGCCTCCCTCAATGCAGAAGAAAATTTCTTTGACTCTCTTAATGTAGAAGTGGTAGCACTGGGAGTCGTGCAGGAAAGACAGGGCAAAGTCAACATCAGACCCAGTCTGATCACGTACCAGGAAAGTACCATCCGTACTCGTACTTGTGTCTGGAGAACGCTGAAGCACTGAAATGTCAGGGCATAAAATATCTCAGGCATAATAAAGGGTACCATTCACTTTTAATTGCCAATTCAAATAATTTGAAGTGTTTTTGGCAGTTCTTTGTTAAATGTTAAAAGTTCTTTTTAAATTTCCTTGTATATTTTACATACCCAGTTTAAAATTAATGACAATTCATGATAAACTCAAACATCTTTGAGACACATCATTCACCTTACACTACACTAAGAATCAGGGATGCAAACAGGTTTTGAAAAAAAAAGCTGGAAAATATATGGCGCGTGCGCACTGACTGAAATAAGAATACAGTGAGACTAAATTATATTTGTTTCTTTCCCTCTATTACAACAAATGATCTCTATTATAATATGTAATGTTTATAGTAGACTTTTGTTAAAAACTGGGGCCCAAATGGCAAGTCGGTCGGAAAAAGTCGGAAGATTTACATCCCTGATGAATATCTCATATCTTATTAAACAAACTTACACATTTTTTTGTTTTCAGTTTTAGTAGAGGTTTTATGGCGCTCGCAACTTCATAAGGTTATATGTGCGCCAAGGGGTGGATGTCAACAGAGAAATCCTTACAGGGAATTAGACTTACTCTGCTCACCTCTCAAGCTTCAACAGCACAAAGTCTGCTTCGACTACTATCAATGCTCCCCAGAAAGAGCGGGCCACAAGAGTGTGACAAACATAGAAAAGAAGTAGAGGAAAATGACGACAGTAAGGATTAGGAAAGAAAAAGCAGGAGTGTCCTGTTGCAGTTCAGGCACAGTCATGAGTATGACATTGATGAATCAGGCCATATACAATTATAATTCTACTGTGCATAAGAACAGGTTAATGTCCCCCCTTTAACCCTTCCAGCCCCACGCAGGTATATTTTCAGCAGCGCTTGTACCTTCCACCGTCATGGGGGTACCAAATTAGCGCATTTTTCAAAATTAGCTAACCTAATTCAACTTTAATTTTCATAGCATTTGTTCATTTACCTTTAAAAATAGTTATAGTTATATATGTTATTATCTAAACCTCACTACAAAGATATTACATAACTTTTTAGAATGCATGCCTCTTTTCCTGAAATACTTCTGTATAGGCTGGGACTGGGGTTTCTGAATGCACAAAAATGGCTGGGCCTGGAAGGGTTAAGAATGACCTGAAGACACTTCAGTCAGTAGCACCGCCCCGGGGGGTGAAACTTAGACATTTAAAAATCGAACGAGCCATATATGCATGTTAATACGCAACAAAGATATCAAACATACTGTAAAAAGCTTTGTGGCAAAAATGGATGGCAACATCATTAACTCACCCAACCCTAACCCTGATAATATCGATATGAGCACGCAACGCTCCAACCCTAACTCTGACAGTATTGGTATGGAAAATCTCGCTCTCATGACTGAAAACACTACTTTTGTGTGAAGCAGACTAGAGCCTGATTAGAAGAGTAACCATTTTTCGTTAGAAACAGACTATGACAAGAAGTGCAAGCCCAAATTTTGAACAAAGAGAGCTATACATTCGTGAACCATGTGAGGGGGTGCGAAATTTGAACGCACTTCCTTTCTTCGCTTTTTGTTCACTTTTTGACTCTATATATAGACCTTCTTCCACGGAGTATTGCATAAAAACTATGACATATTTAGCTTTCAAATTTTTAATACACACAAATAAAGGGATGGATAAAATGAGTACAGCATTTAAAGGGGTTTTTTTCTTCAATTTTTTAAAAGGTGGAAAAAAATCTCTAGGGAAAACTGACAACCCAGAAGTGTAGGCCTAGGGTTGATTGAGTTAAATAATCATATTCATGTCTGCTCTATACTCTACAAATGACAACAACAACAAAATGATGCGCTTTCGAATTGTTTCTTTCAGATAAAATTCAGTATTACCTTCATGTAAAATATTCTCAGCAGCACTTCTTGACATCTTCCCATGGTACCACATTGCAGTCAGGTCATCTGCATCACATTTTTCTTTATCTGATTTCAGCGACGAAAGGAAATTAGCTGGGTTGCTGATGAGATTCAGAGTGCTATTCACATAGATATCATCTGTGCCAGCCATTTTACCTGGAAAATAAAGGTTAATCAAAATGCCACTAACATAAAATACCAAAAAAAGAAATGAAAATAGTGTGAAGTGCCTGTACATACTCAAAAAAAAGATTTTGCAGAGAATACCAGATGCACTTGCAATTTTCAGAAGTTCCTGCTTCGAGTGATTTATTAACCCTTACAGCACAGGGCTATTTTTATCCATCACTTCCCTCTGGTCTAGACAATACTGGAGTCCTAAAGGCCAAGCCAATACTGACTGTATATACATGTAATATATAGAAATTCTTTGTAGATATAATTATTAAAGAATTTCTTTTCTGCTTTTGTTTGATCTTTCAGAAGAACATACATATGTGAGGCAGTGTGGTGAAATCAAGCATTTTTCTGCAAGTTTGGCAATTTTTATCGAATTTTTGTTTTTTGGCTTGACATCATTGTTGTCCAATTAAGAACATATGTCTGGGTGGATTTTACCTAAAAACAATGATTAACCTCTTCGCTGCCACACCCGTAGAATTTATTGGCCTGAACCGAGTAGCGCTGTGCCTATGGGACTTCCCGCTGTTTCACAACATCCTTTTCTATTGTTGCATATATGAACAAGGAAGAACAGCATGCTGATGACTCCATAGAGATGTGAAGAAGAGGTAAAAATATACTTGTCATAATGGATTGTCATAATGTTATGAACAAACATTTTGCTCATGAATGAAACCTCACACCTTGTAATCTGCAGCTGTTTTGGGGTGTATTTTTAATTTTAACCCAAGTGAAAGATGTATTAGAGCTTGCTTACATTCTGATATTTTATGTCATAAGCGTAGGTGTGTATTTTAATAAGTATTTTACTAGTGTAGTATTGGTTATGAACTAACAACGTATCCATTTTATATATATATATATATACATATTTTGAAGGCTTTTCAGTGTTAATAAACCTTAAAAACATGCACACAGATACATATTATGATTATGAGGAGAGTTTCATTTAATAAAAGGAAAGTATCAAACTAAGCGAATGACAGATCAAATTAATTTTTACGTCAAAACTGAAATTTGCCATACAGTTTATGAATGAATCATTAAATGAATTCTGAGGGTGTTTTAGTGTATAAACTTTGAATTCTTCCGACATGATGCATATTTTGAGAGGGGGGGGTCTCATAAATGAAAACCATTTTATATGTGAATGACAGGACCTTCTCAGAGCAGGCATTGGAGGCTGGATCAGACCAGCTCATCTTGATAAACTTGCCTCGGGACCGGTCCTTATCTTATCGAGGATCAATGCGAAAAGTGACCATTAAATGCGATAAGCGGTGATAGGCAGATGCTTTAACACTAATACGTATACAATTAATGGAACATTCTTGAAATATGCTTTTGCATGCCAATAGTGTCATGTGTGTAGTTTGTAGCCGTCTAATCTCCTAACTTCTTCATTGTTTTATTCAGTGCACGTTCTTTTCATCAGGATACATTTTTACTACACTCAATTGTAAGGATTAAGTTTGTGCTTATTTTATGTGTTTTACTGTTCAGCCCAGATTCTAGTTTTCTTTTATCTTGAATCTTATTGTAATTGTGAAAAAGTTTTCAGCTGGAACATACGTCTCAGTTTCAGCATAATGAACCGTTTGAGCAACATTTCAACATGGTAAAAAAGGGCAGCGTATGAGGCTGTAGAAGTGGTTATCGGCCAAAACGGAGATGGCAAAATAACAATATTACAGATTTCTAAAAGATTTTTTTTTAAAGCAAGCGGGTCAAAAGTGTCCCAAATAAATTAATCGTAGAAGATGTCACTGATTATAAGGGAGTTTTCTCTCTGCACTTCCCACCCAATGTACCTTTGGTACAGGCTGGAAGATTTATTTATAGTGCCCACAGAGCCATCATCAATATTTCCAGAAGTACCAACACCATGGCACACCAGCTCCAAAAGAGAGCAACTACAAAAAGTTCAGCTTCTTCTAGAGCGGCTGATATTGATGGATGTAATGAGCGTATTCAAAGATAGATGCCTTCAAGCTTGATTCATTTTTAACAAAACAATAGAAATGAAGCTGACAGCCATTGGCAATGTTACAAAGAGCAATGATTATGATACATTTTTTCTTGCTCAGCAGAACTCGAGATGGCCCTGTTTCTGCATTTTCCATGTATTTTATCGTTGTTCGCCATACCCATGACCACGTGAAAGAGCAAAGTGTTTCACAGAATGAAGGACTGGCGGACTGGCGAATAAAAAAATTGCAAAGCTGCCATCCCAATCATGCAAACAGTAACTTTTTCAGAGGTAAGAGACTGCTTTTTTTATCTACAGCTGATTGGGTTCAGTTACATGCACCATTTGAAGAGCGATGTGTGTGTGTGTGTGTGTGTGTGTGTGTGTGTGTGTGTGTGTGTGTGTGTGAATCAAAACAAAATTCTCTTTCATATAAAACATGTAGAATGAAAACAATGTCTCTTGCATATGTTGCATGTGAAGAACACGGTCTGTATTTCATCATAAAACGTGAACGTTTAGTAATTCCTTTCTATGTTGATGAATTGATACGTTCTGTCACTGATGTGATCTTTCTTTGTTTTATAAGAGCAGATAACTCTCACAAAAAAACAGCAACAACAAAAATGCATTGACTTAAAGTAAAGTTCGTTGTCGGCCAGTCTAGTGAGTACAGTGCAAGAATGCTCCATCACCCGCTCCAGCGCACTTATCTATCGCCGCTTTTCACACTGACCCTCCGTAAACGTGGCCGGCCTACAATACCGGAGCCAACTGTCTGGGATACGGGGCTGTAGTGAGAAGGCCTAGGCCCAAGCACAGAATAAAATTTTTCATAGTTATAAACAAAACAGGGTGACATAATGGTTATGAACGAACCAGTAATTTATTCATAAAAAACATGTCCTTTGATCAGTTTGCCTCGAAAAATAATTAAGTGGTCTTTTATATTCAGTTGGCTGCTATAATAATAGACCAGGCGTCACCAGGGTGTTATTTTTACGGACAATTCTCTAGTCGATAAAGCTTGACTTAATTGGAATATAATAATATAGTTTTTTGGCCACTTATTGTTCATTCATGACCATTACTATTATAATGACACAAGAAAGTAGTTTTATGAAAAATTAATACAGGCCTACCTAATGACTAATGCAATAAAGTTTAAAGTTAAAGTTAGCCTAAAGATTTAGCTAGATAGGCCGATAGGCCGTCTGTAACTCGTATAGGATGCCCCATGTATAAATATATAATAAGTACAAAAGATGAATTCATATTCAAGTATTTCACTCTTTCTAAGACAAACTGAGAGGAGATCACTGCTTTTCATTTTGATTGACTTTAGTTTGTTTTGAAGTTTTTTGCTTTCCGAGCGTCTATGGAAACTGGGCACGTAGCCCCAGTCTTCGTACACGGTAACCGGAAGGTCCACCTCGTTCTAGTTCTACCAAACATTCTGTATAATATAACAAGATGGTTCACTCTTCTCTTCGAACCAATTACAAAAGTCTCCTCAAAATCCGGTGGCACCCCCTTAGAAAAATCGCCCGCTTTGCGAACAGAGATACAGTACTTGTGTGGAAAAAATTCAAAGCGAAACTAACAAGTTTTTGTATAGATTATAATTAAAGTTTCAGAATAACGCCTTTTAAAATGGTTATGCTGACAAAAATCCTACTCAGGTGGAAGTGACGACAGTCTTCTTTGTTTAATTCGGCTTTAGAACGAAGAGTCAAGAGGTCATTAAAATAAAATAAACCCAAAACTCAGCACTGAGCGAACCGGAACAGCTGATGTACAAGGGGGTGCTATCCTATTCTTCTTCTAGAGAAACAAAAGAGAGCCTCAAAACAAATACTGCACCAATGTGCGGACTTCCACTGATACTTTTTTGGCCGAGTGAACTATTTTATTATGTACAATCTTCGGTTCTACACACAAAAGTATCATGTTGTTCGACTCGCCATGTTGTGTGTGCATTGTGCGAACTCCGAAATTCTCCGACGTGTGCATTGTGGGAGGCCACGTTGTTTGACAATGGCAGGGCTCCCCTTTTCAAGCCAACTTAAAAGGTTCCTTCACCCTTTAGTTTACTGTCTAAAGGGGTATTTTTAAAAACCCTTGTTTTAGAAACTTTAAGGGTAAAAGTCAATATATCCCATAATTTTATAGTAAGATTTTTTCCTAGTAAACATTTAACTCACACGCACATTCACACAAGACACACACAGAGTGACCATGACAGTGATAGAATGCTAACGATTTTTAATTAACTAAAGAAATCAATGAGTACTATACTGTCCCCGTAGGATTATGTGATTGTGCGGACGCGGCGCGGCCGCGTTTTTTCGTGTAATTCTGCAACATTTGCATAATTTTGGATTTCCCGCATTTTTTCACCTTTTTTACACAAAACAATTAACTAGCGCCTCGTCATGTGACAAAAGGGAAGTAATCACCGTAATAAGTCTCATTTAATTGACAAGATGGTTATTTCCCTTGTTAGAAGATCTTGGTTATGGGTTTGGGATTTTGTTCCTTGAGCATGTGTTCAATTTTTAAATCCATCAAAAGTTGTTGTTCTCATGTCTGCTGATGTTTCATGTTTGACAGGCACCCCTTGTTTTAGTAATGTGCCAGCATCAGAGGTCCAGATGTCCTTTTTTTTTTTTAAAATCTAGATCTACAGCTGAAAGTTACAGAGATTATAATTTTTGGTTGTTGTTTTTTTCTGACTGATGGGTATTGTTTTCTTTCCAAATACACAACAAATTACTGATATTGATATGTTCTGTTTCCTATTTTTCTGTGCATAAAACATGAAAATCATGAAAATTCGTGTTGAAAAATTTAACATGTCGCGAATGGTGTTACGGTAACTTGCATAATTTTTGCATAATTTTGCTTCTTTTTTTGTGTGCATAATTTGGCCATTTAAATTTGCATAATTCTACGGGGACAGAATATTGACTAGAATTAGAATCAGAGTTGTGTCCATTTGGAGGGGGGAAGAGTGGTGGATGTTGAGCAGTTAGGCATATCAAAAATAAAATAAAGTTGACAAACCAAGAAAAATACACCTGCCACTCTATGAAATCTAAATGTCAGGATCTCAGTGGGAAAAAAATTTGGGACTTGGGGAAAAAAAATCGGGAACAAAGACAAATCACCTAGGTCACCGCCAAGCTGACTTAAAAAATTTCAAGGGGTGTCCATTATTATATCCATGTTATATTCCCTCTGCGCACACGCGCATGGGTGTTGTGTACGTTGTGTTAGAGCATGCGAACGCGTGCCTGTGTGTGTTATATATATTTTTTTTTTTTTAAATCCGGAAGCATCACATAAAAGTCTCCTAGTCCAAGTGTTTTACACCCCCCCACCCGATAAGTCCCGAAAGACGCTCCAATCGGGGCGCATGAACTTAAATTGACAACGGACGATCCCCAACACACGCGAAACTCACATGCCGAAGTCATGTCACGTGGTGCGAATGAGCGATTGAAACAGTTTTACTGACAGGTCTTGATGACGGGCCCGACTAACTAGAACTCAAAGCATATTCTGGCGAAAGTAGATGGTGTGCACTGAAAACACCAGCAAATGTCTTAAGTCAGAATGCCAAATCAATAACTACTTCCATAAATAGTTGAAATAACACGTGTGAGCAAAGATCCAACACAACTTTTGGTGAGTCACCTACAAATTCGACACACAGATATTTAAGAAAATAGCGCTCCGAGTTTCTGCTGACAAAAACGGGTACTTCCAACTACAGAAAAGAAGAAGGCAGAGTAAGATTTTACAAAAATCCAGCGCAACAGACGGAACAAAAAATCATTTTTTAAAAATCGGGTACACGCGATCAAAATCGGGAAAACTGGGATGATTGAGATTTAGGGCAGGGATGAGTGGCAGGTTTGGAAAATAAACTGATTCATTATTATTCTTCAGAGCCAGCCCCGAGTTCACATTCTAGTCTTTCCAGACATTCGATGGTGGACAATTCGTTTACTAGTGTTTTAAGAAGGACGGGGACAATCTCACAGCAGGGGTAAACTCAAGGCACGACACCAACAAATGCGAGCGACCAGAATTTGGGCAGAGCTTCTCTGCTGAAACCAGCTGGAGTTGCGGGAAACTGTGCGCAACTAAAGTAGATCTTGGTCGACTCGTCGACTTCTGAGACAGGTGACTGTCGTGCATGTGTGTGGGTGTGTTGTCAAATCATTGACTCGGCTTCAGGACAGAGAAGGGGGAAAATGATGCTTGCCAGACGCACACCACCTCTACGTTTTAAAGCGTGTATCCAAACCCCCGAAATGAAATTATAAAGTTTAAAGCTCACGCACCACCAAAACTTAAAGTGCGTAATCTGCAGGTTTAAGGACGCACATTTGTGGGTAAAGGGGAGCCCTCAAAGGCCATTTTAGCTAGCTGTTTATTTTCTTTATCCAAGTTCATAGTCATAGACACCTTGAGTAGATCTAGATGCACGACAACTTCATCTGACCCCTACAGCGGGACTTCCAGAATCCCCTTTTTTTCTAATTATAAACTATGTAAACTTTTAATTACTTTATGTTTGGGTTTAGCACTAGTTAGCAGGCCAAGGAAAGTTACGAACTTGGATGTACAGCGGGAGAGATCGAGCGACCAATATCTGGGGGAAGGGGTTGGGCGATGGGGGGGGGGGGCTGTAGGTAGGCTCCAAACAGGCAGTCAGCGATACGGCGTTGTGATAGGCCAGTCCAGTGATGAGTGGGGGGGGGGGGGGTAGCAGTTACCGTGCACCTAGCTCAAGCCACTCAAGGCCAAGGGGCCACGGACACTAAGTACCCGGTTACCAACATAGAATAGATACTGAGACTACGTGCCCGGTAACCGTGTACATAGACACTCCCATTTACTTTTCTGAGACAGTGATCGTGAGCAGCCTACTAAAACCCTGCATGCCTTAGCCTTACTACAAACTAACAAACTACAAGTACAAGTTACAATGATATTTATGTTGAATCTCTAACTCTAAGTCTAAGAATATAAGAAGTAGCACTGGCTTACCGTTAAACTTTCGATGCTGGGCTGTAGGCCCACACAACACAATGAGTCAACTGACTGAGCTTGGATGTAGCCCAAAATTGATACGAATTACTAGATAGATCTAGATTCTAGAGTCTATATTATTGGACAACAAGGAACAGACCAAGCCCCACCAAGTAAACAACCTTACACTGACTTGCGGCACAACAGCCGGTGCAAGGTTGCGAATGATGGATAGGTTGCTTCCCAGCCCGTTGAAACGAGTCTGATATAGATTAGATATCTACATATTATTAGAAGAACCCAAGGTGGGAAATTTTAATAGATCTATATATTGTAAAGATCAAACGTTTTCCTCTAGAGAAGAATCACTTATTCCCATAAAAAAATAAACATTCAGGTAGGTTTGCTTGGAAAGACAAACTTTAGGCCTACTTTCGTATTTCGCTTCCTCGTTCTATCTATGGTCACGTGATTCCATATCTGACTGACTGAGGTTTTCTTCGAAAATGATTGTATTTCCTGTGACGCCGGCTATATTTCAGGACAAACGAATGCTGACTGTGAATACCACAGAATTAGTGTAGAATTCTGTGGTGAATACTGATTCTATTGATATTTAAACCCAAAGCTCCTTCTCACTTTAAACCTTTACACAAGTCAAATATCAGTTCTTATCTATCTTTTCCCTTTTATTTGTCGTCTGTCTCCATTAAATTCCATCGTTCATGGGTAAATTGCGGTGGCAACAAACCTGAATAATAAATGCTGTCCTTCAAAGTGCCCTGTCGTCCGTCGGCCTACAGTGCTGAGACCTGGCCATGTACCATAAGCCATGCTGGGAAGCGAAATCATTAAAATTTGCATGTCTGTCTATTTATGCAATGCCTCATGCGAATTCTTGGCATCAAATGACAGGACAAAATACAATACCACTACCAGACACTAAGTTCTCAGAAGAGCAAATGCCGAGAATTCTGTCTTTGGCTCAAATTTATAGGACTCTCGGCTTCCCCGAGCTGGCCATATCGGGGGGAAGGGGTGAGGCTGAATTCAGAGTCCCAAAGATAATTTTGTTTTGGGATGTCCTCGGGATGGAGCGTCGCGAAGCTGGAGCTTTAAAATTGTGCTACAAAGACACCTTGGAAATGTGTTTGAAAAGCTCTTGACAAAAATCCTGCGACTTTGGAAATCCAAGTTCCCGACCTTCCCAGTTTGAGAGCAATGTAACTGTGGGCAGCAAATCACGATTAGGCTTCATAGCTTAAAGATACTCAAGCCAAGAGAGGAGCCTGCAAACTGCATACATCAACCAAAGAAAATAAAGCTGTTGTGCTCTGAATGTGGTTCCCACTTCGAGATATCTTATTTTATTTAGTAGAGGTTTTACGGCACTCGCAAATGTATAAGGCAGGGGTTCTCAACCTGTGGGTCGCGACCCCGGGGTCGCGAGACTATTCTTGGGGGGTCGCGAGATCATTGAAGATTTTGTGCTTAAATTACCCTCTGAAAACTAAATCATTGTTCTTTTTCTTTCTATGGCAACTTTCAAAATACGGTCTCCTCTTCAGTTGGCTGAATAGATTAATAAGAAAAACGGTACACACCTGAACTTCTTAACAAGGCCAGAGAAACAACCAGGCTACACCAGTTAAGTTTCCCCAGTCTGTTTATGTGGGCCTATCATAGGTTTGGTATGCTGTGTTTTCTTTTGTTTCGATGTATAATTTAGCTTCGCCATAGGACAACGCACAATAATTATAATAGCTTGAAGCCTCAGTTATGACGTCGAGCTGCATGGGTGCTGGCTTTGGAGAAGGGGGTCACAGGGGGAAGTATGGTAGTCATGCATATTTTCATCTAGACCAGTCTCGACCGAGTTTAATTTGTGTCAAGTGCACAGAATTTTACACTTAGTGTAGAATTCTGTGGTCAAGTGTCAAGTAGATTAGAACAAATGGAGCCTCCTCTCTCTCTCTTCGCGGCACCACGAGCAGTACGCCGCTGTGGGGATCAATTTAATATGGCCGCCGAGTGTGGGCTAAATCTCGAACTGTGGCGTTTCTTTTTAAAGAATCTTATCGGGCTGGGCCACGTTGTGGGGGTGGGCGGGGTAGGGGAATGCACGCAAGGAAGAGGGGATGGAGCAGGGATGAAAGAGGAAGGGCGGGCCTTGGGAAGGGACGAAGGAGAAAGGGAAAAATTAAATAAAAGGGTGAGGGAGGGAGGGGGAGAGAGAGAGAGAGAGAGAGAGAGAGAGAGAGAGAGAGAGAGAGAGAGAG